GGCGTCGGCGTCGCGCGGCCGCAGCCAGGCCAGCTCGCCGGGCGCCATGGTCTCCAGCGCCGCGTCCAGCAGCGCGGCCCAGCGGCCCTCGGCCTCGCCCAGCCGCACGCTCAGCCAGCGGCCGCACGGCACGGCCGGGGCGGCCCGGGACGGGCGGACGGACGCCGGCGCCGACAGGCGGACGCGGCACAGCGAGCCGGGCCCCGGCCGCGCCAGCCCGCGCCCGCGCCGCACCGGTAACTTCCACCAGGCGCCGTCCGGGCTCGGCTGCCAGGAGCCGGGAATGGGGTCGGGTGGGGCTGGCTCCGCCCCCTGGGCATCAAACCCCGCCCCCTGTGCTTCAAACCCCGCCCCCTGTGCTTCAAACCCCGCCCCCTGTGCTTCAAACCCCGCCCCCTGTGCTTCAAACCCCGCCCCCTGTGCTTCAAACTCCACCCCCTTGGTTTTAAACCCCGCCCCCTGGGCTTTAAGCTCCACCCCCAGGTACTTTTGATTGGCAGCACTTGGCTCAAGCTCTGCCCCCTGGGCTTTTAACCCCGCCGCCTGGTCGCTTTGATTGACAGCACTGCGCTCAAGCTCCGCCCCCTGGGCTTTTAACCCCGCCGCCTGGTCGCTTTGATTGACAGCACTGCGCTCAAGCTCCTCCCCCTGGGCTTTTAACCCCGCCCCCAGGTCGCTTTGATTGGCAGCACTTGGGTCAAGCTCCGCCCCCTGGGCTTTTAACCCCACCCCCCGGCCGCTTTGATTGACAGCACTGGGCTCAAGCTCCGCCCCCTGGGCTTTTAACCCCGCCCCCCGGTCACTTTGATTGACAGCACTGGGCTCAAGCTCCGCCCCCTGGGCTTTAAGCTCCACCCCCAGGTTGCTTTGATTGACAGCACTGCGCTCAAGCTCCTCCCCCTGGGCTTTTAACCCCGCCCCCCGGTCGCTTTGATTGACAGCACTGGGCTCAAGCTCCGCCCCGTGGGCTTTTAACCCCGCCCCCCGGTCACTTTGATTGACAGCACTGGGCTCAAGCTCCGCCCCCTGGAATTTAAGCCCCGCCCCCTGCCCTCCAAGCCCCGCCCCCTGTCCCCCAGGCCCCCGGCGCACAAGCTCCGCCTCCAACGCGTCGAGCTCCGCCTCCTCCTCGTCAGGCTCCGCCTCGAAGGCCTCAAGCTCCACCCCCCAGGTCTCCAGCCCCTCCCCCTCGGGCGTCCTAAGCCACGCCTCCTCCAGCGACCAATCCCAGGGCTCTCGCGCCTGATTGGCTGCAGCCGCCACGGGCGTGAGGTCATCGGGGAGGTGTTGGGGGGGTGGGGCTTGCTGCTGATTGGCTGCGGGGCTGGGCGCAGGGTTCTGATTGGCTGGGGATTTGTGTCCCGTGTCCTCATTGGCCGCCTGTGGGTCCTCATTGCCACTGGTCGCCTCTCGTGTCTCTGCGTCCTGATTGGCTGAGCCGCACATCCTCGTCCTCTCATTGGCCGAGTCCTTCAGCAGCGTGTCCCCATTGGCTGCTGCCGATCCCGCATCTCGCTGCTGATTGGCCGCCGCTTCCT